TACTCGTGATACGGTATGTGTGTGTGGGGGGTGGGGTGGGTGGGCCAGGGAAGCTTCCGCGCTTGCGGAAATTGTTTTGGGGGCACACAAAGCGGGTCTGTGCAGACGAATGTCTATCGCTTCCGCGGTAGCCAGCATCGGACAGCAAACCTGTCTCGATAATCGTCCACAAACTTTATACAGGGATCGGAAAGCCTCGGACACATTCACAGTGTGATTTGTTTTTCAGCTAGGTGTAAAACCGCTGAACTGGTGAGTGACTTAATCGTTCAGCCACGCAGAGTGGTGTGCACGACACCGTTCGGACAGTCGCCTGACCATGTTGCCAATGCACGTTGTTTCACAGAAATAAGTAAATAAGTATACACAAAATGTGACCGCAGAGTCTGGAACTTTGTCCTTCAGTCGAAAACCCAAAATTGGCTTGGACGTGAACCTCACACGAAACTTGAATGCACACGTAGTTACAGTCATGCATCGAAAACTGTACACGCGGTACGTAGATGACCTTTATTGTGAGATCAATGCAGCATCAAGCACAACGGAACTTTTAAACAGGTTCAACAGTGCGTATCCCAACATATCATTTACTTTAGAAATGGTTTGTAACACTAAATTGCCGTTTCTAGATGTCTGTATCACTCGTCGATCAGCTGGTTCGGTGCAGTTTTCCGTGCATATAAAGGCAATTTGCAACGATCAGTGAATTCGTTTCCGAAGCTTTATGCCACTTAAGGTCAAAAGGCNNNGGGGGGGGGGGGACCGGGAAAGAAAGATCTGCAATGAGGACAAGCTAGAAGAAGAGCTCTGAATCGATCTTTGCACGTAACGAATAGCCGAAGCGTTTAGTCAACAAAATGATTCAGTGCACGGCGAACACTATACAAGAAATCGAGGTTCAGAAAAACTCCGTGTACATTTCTTTGTCGTTCAAAGGGGATACATTAGCTGAAATCGTTCAAAGAGGATTGTCCGATGCAATCCATAAAACTTTCTATGCATCCAAAGTTCAGATTGTCATTGTCTGAAAACTGTTTCGGGATATGGCATCGAACTGAAGTCAGTTGTGTGAATGATATTCGATGAGTGGCGTAAACAGGAGGCATCTGGGATTAATCGAGGTTGAGAAGAAGGTTAGGGGCAGAGTTTTG